GGAAAACAAGAGCTACGAAAGTTGACAAAATTTAGAGCTTGAAAAACCGTGACTAACAGAAAACACAATGGTAAAGCCAAACCATATTTTCTACGTACTCGTATCGGGGAGATCAGACACTATCTGTACCAGTTTTCTTTTGTATTCAGCGACTTCACATTCAAGTTGTTTGATGGTTTCCTTGAGCTTGATGTTTTTCTCCTCAAGTTCAGCCTGCTCTTTCAAAAGAATCTGCCTTCTAAAACAAGATCACACATCGTTAAGGACAAATTTTTGGGAACTATCCATGGTAAGGAATGAACAACCTACCTCTCCTTCTGTTTATCACGATAACGAGCAGCTGCCACTTTATTCTGATAACGTCTCTTGGAAACTTGTACAAGTTGCTGTGCTGAAAATCACTGCTATAAACATATTAAACAGATATGTAATGTGATGACCTAGTTTGTGCAAGCACAAAAATAGTAGCTCCGAACGTTGACACATAGCTAGTTGATCGAACGTATAAGCAATACAACATATATTCAGTATCTCAATTTGGAAAGTTCCACTTGCTTACAGACGCCTACGAGTCATAAAGAAGTTAAATCTTGACAAATGCCAAAATTGGCATATTTTTCTATCGTATGAAGCGCATTAACTTTGAGCATAGCCTTCGTAGTAATAAACTGGATTAAAGGACGCAGGGTACCGTAATCTCGGGTCCACTTTTTGCAAATTCAACTTCTTTTGAATTGTAGAGCAAGTTATCCGCACGATGACTAATGGAAAAATGATTTTCAGCTGTGCTGCGAATGAACTACCGCCATACCGCCGATATTAACCACACAACTCCGAAGTTCGGATACTTTGGAAGAAGCTAAGTTTACAAAAAAAAGAACAAGGATTAGTAATCTTCACTTTATCCAGCGTAGGATCAAAGTCAATAGCGCGTTCTGCTCAATGAAGTAGACTGCGGCGTGATTTTTACAAATCTACGTCTTTTAAATACTTTTGGGGTTGAGGTCGAGGAGAAAGAAAGGAGAAAACTGATCAGCCCTCTGCCCATCTTCTTTCTGCGGTGGCATGAGCTAAGCTCTTCTATTTAATTATCGCTTACTTCTAATTGTATAATACTTGTTGGCCGATAGCTACTTCTCAAAGCCACAAACCTGAGGCTAACTTATCATTTACTTTTTAAGAAGATCTAGAGGGTCTGTTTTTCTGCACACTTGGTGCTTTCATTTAAGGCTCTGAAGGCGAGAGCGCCGATACATTAGAGAATAAACTCGTTAAAATCTGGCCGACTGCTTAAACAACTGAATTAAAGATCCAAACAGTCGAACGTGGACAAGAAGATCAATGGATTCAGAGCTATTGGGAAAGGACAGCTACAGCGCAAACATTTTTAACGTAATATTAATTGCTCTTGTGTCCTATGCAGGCGTTGGTCGCCATTCTGTGTTAAGATGCAACCAACATTTTTCTTAATTAATCAAATACAAACTTTTATTGTTACTGGATTTGGTGTTTGGTGTGCAAACCTGCGCATTTTATAACATTACATCATAAGATAATTATAATCACGATGATACAATATTATTAATAGGTTAGGTTATAATAATATTAATAGGTTAGTAATATATATATGATAATAAATGTGATAATAACATAATAATATTAAAAATCTGTCTGTCACAAAATTAATTCAATTGTCTTAAGAAAGTCAAAGAGCAGTTATCAATCATTATGATGTTAACGCGGAACACTAAGTAAACATGAGCAATTTTGTTGAGCTGGTTGTTAATTTCGTGTTGTAATGGACAGGCACAGCGGTGGATCAAATAGGCTCTGTGGCTTTTTCCTTTGAGCATTAAAAAGTCAGATAAAACTTTCAAACCTTTCGTAGAAAAGCGCAGTGATGGCTTTTAAATTGAATCTTTAGGACTTTTTTGCTAAGGTCAAAACCAAAAAATTGTTAATTATGAAAAGTGCTTGGTATTATATATAATCTGATAACATGATATATAAGTACGATATGATGAAATATATATATATATATATATATATATATATATATATATAGTGATAT